CAAGACCCATCACAGCACAGAAACATAATCCCCCCAGCCTAAAACCATGCTGCAAAAAACCCCAGAAGTTTTTAAAAAGCAGAAAACAGCACCTTATCTTCCTGCAAACACACGCACACACTCACTCCGAAGCAGAAAGAGGCAGTCCCAAGTGTCCAACGAAGATACACACTTTCTAACTGCTGGGGTGAAAGAGCTACAAAGAAGCAGCCTCTTTTGCCACCTACAGTTAGCAATTTGAATTTCCCACCTTTTTCCCCTACCTTTTTCTGTTTGTAAGCGGAAGCTCCAGTCACAAGTAGAAGCAAAATTTTGTGGCCAGAGCTAGTCGTAAGTCAAATTGGTCGTAAGTAGGGACGTAAGTAGGGAAGCACCACTATATTTTGTGTGTGTGTGTGTGTGTGTGTGTGTGTGTGTGTGTATGTGTATATGCTATTTGGGAAAACCATAGTCCTGATCTAATCTCATATATACATACAGTCAATGATTACTGCTATTTCCACTTACATTGTAAGTGAAAATAGTAGTCATTATTGACTGAAGTGGGTGAGTTTTCCACTTACCCACTTCAGTAGAAGTGATAAATAAGAAGCAGCTTCTGTCTAGTGTCTAGAAAGAAAGGCTTTTACCTGTGTTACTCTACCTTCCTGATCAAATCTGCCATTTCCCAGAAGGTATTGGGTATAAATTTGTAAATGTGTAAACACAACTCCTTTCTGTGTGCTTTATTCTAGTGATTCAACACAGAATAACTTCGTTTTACATTTGTTCCAAAACAACTTCCAAACCATGTCACAGTGGTGGGTTGTATTCAGAGTACTACAAGGATAGTAAGAAAAAGTTGTGTTCTTCTAAAAATAATTAAAACAGACTTTGGTCACACCCATAGTCAAGCTTGAAGGCTTGGCTGCAAAACCTGAAAACCAACATTCAGCATGAAGGAAACCTGAAGCGCATCTTGAGATCGCATATTTAAATGTTATGTACACTTTTTCTCACAGCCAAGTCATATACTATGCTTTAATTGGAATGCAATGCTGATCAGCCAGAAATTACCTACTATTTGCCTATTTTGTTGTCAATGTTCTACAACTCCAGAATTTGACTATATATGTCAAAGATAGTCTTTGGTTTTATGTAGCGTATAATTTGTAAGGAAATGCTGAATGGCTCTTGACTCGGTATTAATTTAGCACATCAATGACACAGAAAGAGATGGAAAAGTGGATGCAGCTGAATTAAGAACCCATAGCATTTTGCTATGAAATTGATAAAGGTTCCCTTGTTGTTTGGTATTCATAATGCCAGTTTTAGTTGATTATGGTATACCGTATCTTTGTGTAGCACTGTTGCTTGCTCTGTTAGTGTTCCATTGAACAAGATTTTGTCATTATGGTGTGCTACCAGAATTACCAGGTGACTTTAAAAATGCTTTGCTTTGTATTCTTCTGTGTGAAGTAGCAAGTGATATTTCTGTACAGTATTAAAATTTAGAAAAAACTCCTGTATAGCAAGCTGCTGTCATAAAATCTGAAGCTTCTTAATATTGTTATTCAAGCTGTCATCTGGTCTATAGAATAAACTGCAGTGGAAGAAGCAGCCTAAGCGTCAGCAGGCCCACCCAGTTATAAAATTTGGAAGCCTTTTGTATTAGGCCTTGAAACTCCAGTGCAATTATATTGGAAAGCTTTTATATTTACTGTAAAATGATGCATCAGGCTCATCTTGAAAAGCAGGTATTAATTGATTAACATGTAGTGGCTTTTGGAAATCTAATACGTTAAAGCTGCAATCCTGCACCATTTTTCGTGGAAAGCTGCTTCTGTGCAGGATTTTCATTTCTCTTTTGGATCAACCTGTGTTGCTAGAGATCATAAGTTGCTAAGCTGTTCAATAATATTGATAAAACAGAGCTATGGCTGATTATGTATCTTGGGAAATAAGCCTTAGAGACGAAGAAATGGGGTGAGAAAACAATGTTTTGGGCACAGTTGAGTTCAAATGACACCAGCATTTGATATACTGGTGGTAGAGGGGTCTGGATCTGATAGATCTATACTTTTAAAGTGTTTTATTTTATCTGTGCAATTGTCTTCAAATGTATTACTTTTACAGTTTGTGTTTTGAATTTTTATAGCTCCTTGGGTATTCTATAAAGTAAGGAAGGAGGTGAAGGCCAGTATCATAATGAGGTTCTGCTTAATGAAAAATCTCACCAAGGTTAAATGTGAGCTTTGCTGTTACATAAGCAGAGGGCAGGTTTTCTTTATGGAGAGCACAGCTTGCACCATGCTGATAATTATACGGGCAACAGGATCTTGTGTTGCTATGCTGGTGGGGCTTTCAGCCCAGCAGAAGCTCAATAGGATGCTGGCCAAGTATTTTATGGTAAACCACTTCTGAGTACTCTACCTAGAAAAAGCTGAGAAGGTTCACCCTAACTCAGAATTTACTTGACAGGGCATAATTATTTATTTTCAAATAAAGAACTACTAAAGATAAGGCTCATTGGGTGTCTTTACCTCTCCTGAGTTCTTAAACAACTGTCCCATATTAATAGCTCCAGGAGTGGAGTCCTCTGAAGAGTATATTCTTTATTTTTGTTTTTTAAACAAGAATTGCATGCTCCAATGTTGATTCTGATCTATGGTAACCTTTTCCAGAGTTTTCTAGGTGGTGAGTACTCAGAAGAGGTTTATCATTCTCTTTTGCAGTGCTCTGGGACTCTGCAGCTTGCCCAAGGCCACACAGGCTGGCTGTTCTAGGATACACAGTGGGGATTGAACTCCCAATCTCTGGCTCCACAGCCAGATACCTAAAACATTGAACTACCCAGCCAACTTTAGGTGCTTCCATATTGTCTTTCGGGGAAAAGTCATCTGGAAGTGACTTACAAAAGAGCATTAGAGTCATATGCACTATGCTTCCAAGTGCTTTATAACAAACCCACTTGCCCTGATTCCAACTCAGTAATCTTAATTTTACCCACCCACTTCTAACCCATTCTTTTAATCAAAGTTGTTCCTGTATTTTATACCTTTCTTTGCCGTATCTTCACCTCTCCCCTTGGTCTGATGCCTCAATCTATGGTACTTTGTTTTGGCAGGAGAAAGATTTTGAATTATCCTGTTATTCAGGTGCTAGTTATTTTGATTTTGTTTTCCCCAAACCTTGCACAAGTATAGGACAAGCAGTAATTCAACAGCTCATAAAGATAGATTTGTGCATTAAGGAGGGGCTGCTTCTTCCTGTGATAGAATCAGTGTTAGCAATTGATAGCTAGATGAAGAGTTCTCATCTGGAGGTCTAGCTTAGCACAATGGGGAGGTGCTTGATTGCTGCTTCCTTGTCTTCAGAGCTCTGCAGAAAAATAGTTGGATTTGGTCAGTTTAGCCACTGTCTTGGTACAGTATGTGTATTTGTGTCTATACAGTATGTTTATGTGCATGCACATGTATATGTTTTGATTGATATTCCTCCCACATTGCAAAAAGTAGCCACAGGATTCTGGATTGGCAGGTATATTGGTACTACTGTACAGTAGTGCCTCGCTTAGCGAGCGCTCCGTTTTGCGATGAAATCGCTTTGCGACACATTTTTTGCGATCGCAAAACGATGTTCCCTGTGGGGGAATTTCCCTTTGCGATGATCGGTTCCCTGCTTTGAGAACTGAGCATCGCAATGCGACGATTTTAAAACAGCTGATCTACAGTTTCAAAATGGCCGCTGGGTAAACAAAATGGCTGCCCGCTGTTTTCTGGGACGGATTCCTCGCTCTACAGCCACCAAAAATGACTGTGCTATGGATGATCTTTGCTGAACGGTGAGTTTTAAGCCCATAGGAACGCATTAATCAGGTTTTAATGCATTTCTATGGGCTTTTTTATTTCGCATTGCGACGTTTTCGTTCAACAGCGATTTTTGTGGAACGAATTAACATCGCAATGTGCAGCACCACTGTACTGTACTTCTTTTCCTTGCTGCCTAAAATGCTTGTGCAGTGGAAGAGGAGAAAGAAGGCAAACTTGGTGTGTGAGCTAGTACCCTTGAGCCATATCCAGCTCTCTGTGTGATGGCATCAGACCTAGGTTCTAACCATTGCATCAGCGTATTTTGCAGAATCAGGAGTTAATGTCTGCACTGAGAGCTGTATAATTCCTGAAGGATAAATTCATCTAACACAAAATAACTGATTTTTTAATTTTTATTTTTTAGGGCAGCTGAGTTCAATTGCCTTCCCACAACATGAAGAGGCATACCTCCAGCTGACAGTAAACTGTCATCCATGCCTTTTAATTTTTGGACAGAACTGTAATGCAAAATGCCAGTTACTCAACATGCTTTTGGGAGAGAGACTGCTACCTACCACCAAAGTTAGCAGCGAGGAGAATTGCAAAAGGCGTCGAATTCGCTTCACCTATGGAAAACAAACGCGGATCAGTTTAGCTCTACCTGGACAGTATGAATTGGTTCATAAATTGGCAGCTAATCAAGGTAGATGGGAAACAATACCTGAGGAGGACTTGGAAATCCATGAGGATAATGAAGATCTTGCACATCAAATAGCAGAACTGGAGGTTACACTGAATCACACATTGTTACAGGTACTTATGTGAACAGTTGTGATGTATATAGGGATATAGCCTGTTGTACTTTAGCTTATTCAAATGTCAGGTTTTTCCTTAATAATTTTATTGAACCTTATTCCTCTGTTTTGGCTATAACTGAGTGAGATCGATATAAAACTAGAGAGAGAGAGCTCTGGAAATAAGAGGGAGTTTGGCTACATTCTTTAATATTGTTGAGAATGGAACCAGAGGTCAACCAACTTCTTTAAAGTCCACCTACTGCTTCTTTTTGTGAACGACTAAGGTATGGAAGATGGTGTTAATAGCAGAGGAGATAGGAGTGGAAGAAGAATGCTTAATTCTTTTCCTACAGTGGTTTAACCCCTATCATCTTGCTTTTTTTTTTTTTAACAAACTCAGCTTTCAGAGCTGTGATTTTAATTTCTAAGGCAATAGCAAGGTTAAAATTTCTATTAAGTTTCTTAGGTACTGTGCATGGTGATACAAAAACCGCAATCAGGGTGACATCCTGGTGTAAAGCAGCTTGTTCCTGGCTTTGTAGCTGAAATGATAGCCAAATATACTAATTAAACTCTGGCTGACACCTTAATTTTGCCCCTCTGTTCTCTGTGTGGGATGGCTTAACAAGCAAAACTGCTCCATAAGTTGTCAGGAAGATATTTGGCACCATTGAAAAGGGGCCATCCCACTAGCCTTCAGTACAAAGATACATATAGCTTGAATCCACTGAAAGTGCTTTCAGCATGCTGCTATAAATGGCATGTGTGTCTTCATCCAGAATTTTGTCTTGTAAATTGCTGTATTCATCTTTCACTTCAAAGTCAGAACTATAGTGTTCCCAAGCTGAAACTAGTGTATTTAACTTGTGATATTTACCTCCTGTATGAGACTCCTGTTCATGGTACCACGTGCCCTAGAGAGCTAGCCTGCCAGTTTGTTCTTGAGTACATCTTTTGTTCTGGATGTTTTTGATATGCAGTAGAGTCAGAAAGTGTGCTCAAACAGTGTTGGTTTTGGTTTTGTGTACTTCAGCCAAATATGTCTGTCCTTATTTATATAGGTTACTTAATGTAAGGCAGCTCAGATATCTTTCATAAACTTTTCAAATAAGTCACAAAGAATTCTTTGTTAGATTTCAGATATATCTAGGGCAAATGAGATCAAAACAGCCACTCAGTCTGATTTATAAGGAATGGAAAACTAAGATGGGTTTTTAAGAGAGAGCCTGCATTAAAACTCTTTACTTACCAATTGAGTCTAAATTCTGGAAGCTAACTTTTAATATCTTAATTATGGAAAAGTTACATGTTTTTTTCATTATAAGGTACTTCAAAATGAAAGAAGAGGCAAGATACAAATATTCACATAGTAAAATAATTGACTGATGTTAAAGTTTAAAAAAATAGTATTAAAAGAAATAATATGTTTACTCCCAGAAACATCTATGTTACTGAATTCCTTCATATACACATATGTCCTCTATAGTCAACAGCAAGAACAAATAAGCAGTAAATAAGTTGTATACTATTGTATATTGTGTTTGTCTACAACTTATGTTCCCTGGTCTAGCAAATTGTCTTGGTCTTCTAATACTAACGTTTTCCCTCTGTGATTTAAGAGTAATCAAAGCTACAGCCAGTTTAAGAACAGTAGAAATTAATGATCACCTATGAAATAGAAGGAGATTACACTTACATAATATCAGTTTGAAAGTACAGTAACCCCAACTATTATTCACAGTGCTATTAAATTACTATAAAATGATGCAGTCTAATCTTAGGGGAGGAGAGAAGATGATGGGGAAAATGTGTAATATTTATTTTTTGGGGAGAAATGGTATGCAACTTTTTTTTCTAACATCCTCCACTGCCTTTGACCATGAATTGGAACTACAGAGAGAGTAGTTCTGACATTCTGCACATGGACTTTGTTAGGGTACACAATTTTCTTATTTTTGTTCTTCAAGAGAAGAAAATGATAATGTTCTATGTACTATGTCAAGCTTAAAATGTAGCTCACAGTTGGAAGCCCCTTTATTCTAAATTCATCTCTGTGAAGGAGCTCCATCCTGGATAGTTAAGATGAGCGCATGCAGATCTCTTCTGTGAAATTTTGTCCTCTAAGATAGAATTATTTTTAGAGAAAAATTCTTAGAAAAATGTGCTGCTGAGCCCCCTTCATCCCTCAACTTAAAATAGATAATAAATCAGGCAGAGCCATTTTGCCACTTGACAGGTTGCAGCTGTACTGGCAAATAATATGGGATTTGTTTGGAAGCAAAAAGGATGAATTTAGACTTAAAAAAACTGATGACATGATGCAAAGGCTGATGTGAACTATCCAAGCTCTTTTTGCTTCAGATGCAAAGTCCCGTCCGCCCTTCCCTGCTTACTGATGTTTTTGACTTTTTTAAAGGCGAGTGATCAGATGGTGTTTTTGCTGTGTGATCAGTTGTTTTGTTCTCCAAAAGGATGTGGGTGGTATTTTGGTAATGTATTGATCTGGTTGTGATGTTTTGAACAGTGGGAACATACGCTTCCATGATTTTTCTCTCTAGCTACTCTGAAGTATTTTAACTGGTTTTTTAAAACTACTGAGTTTAGGGGACTGTGGTATAAGGAGAGGGTAAATAAAGCAATATACTGAAGATCTATACAAAAGATAAAAGAAGGGCAGACTCCTTTGAGGAAGAATCCAAGATGATGAATCTGCAATTCTAGAAAGCGAGATGAAAGTTACTTTCAGAGCACTGGGAAGAAACAAATCACCCTGGTAGATGGCATGTCAGTAGAAATATTCGAAGACTAAGAAGAATATATCTGCCATTATAGAAAACAAAACAATATCCCAGTCCCCAAGGAGATGACAAGATGTGCAGTAATTACAGGACCATTGCTCAAATTTGCCATGCAAAAAAAATGATGTTCAAGGTGTTACAACAAAGGCTTTTATATGGAGTGAGAAATGGCAGTTGTTCAAGCTGAATTCCAAAAAGGAGGAGGCACAAATATCAGCCACTACTGAAGTGCAACAAAGAATTTTAGGAGAAGACCAATTTGTGCTTTATATACTACAGCAAAGCTTTTGACTATGTAGATCATGAGAAGCTAATGAGTTGCTCTGAAAGAAATGGGTGTGCTTCAGCACTAAATTGTCTTGATGCATACCTTATATTGTGGACGAGAGGCTAGCATGACAGAATATGGAGAGACAGAATGGTTTCCTTCAGGCAAAAGTGTCAGACAAGGGTGCCTGTTAACTCCACACCTGTTCTATTTGTATGCAGAACGTATCATATGGAAAGCCACACTAGATGCAGAAGGAGTGAAAATTGATAGAAGAATCTAAGATACTCAGAAAAACACTACCTTACTAGCAGAAATCAACAATGACATGAAACAACTTTTAGTGAAAGTGAAAGAAGAAAGTGCCAAAACAGGACTGCAGTTGAACGTTAGAAGACAGAAAACATGACTACTGAATAACTAAATAACTTTAATGTGTTTTTTTAATTACAGTGGGGTCTTGACTTAAGAACGGCTTGAGTTAAGAACATTTTGACTTAAGAACCACTCTCATAGGAAAATATTGACTTGACTTACATACTTAGATTTGAGTTAAGAACTGAAAAAAAAACCACGTGGGAGGCAGGGAAAGTGCAAAATGTGAACTTTCAGTTAACTGTTGGCCAGTGAAAAGGGTGCCTGTCTGCTTCCTCACTCCTCCCAGTGTTTAGAGAGTGGATTGGGAGACAGTCTTCGGACTGCCTGGTACTGTACTGCCTGGACTGTATTTTCCCTGCCTTCCCTGAACCTTTCTTGACCTAAGAAAAAAAAGAAACAAAATATCCCCCTCTAGTGGTCGAAGGCGGAATAGCAGCTTCCCATTAGATTCTATGGACGGAAAAGAGCAGATACGGATCAAATGGTTTTCAATGCATTCCTATGGGAAATGCAGATTTGACTTGAGAACTTTTTGACTTGAGAACCGCCTTCCAATACGGATTAAGTTCTCAAGTCAAGACCCCACTGTAATTAATTGCAGAATTCAGCCAAGGGACAGTATTATGTACATCGAGGTAAACAAAGTGATACTTTCTGATGGCCTTTCATTATTTTCCTTTTCCTTCACACCAGCTGTAATTTGTCCTCTTTTAGGCATCCCTCATCTAATCCCAGGTACTCTGGGATAGAACAAGCTCCTCTCAAGCCAGAGGTGGTTCTTCTTAACTTTGTAGGGTGTCTGCAAAGAATGAGGGTAGATCACTGCTTGTATGGTAGATTGGGATACCACTTTTTGGGCAGACTTTTTTCTCACCTAAATACATGACGGTTCAAGCATAATTAATTTTGCAATTAACTAAGGTGAAATCTTCAGGGGAGAGGTATTTATACAGAATTAGCAAAAACATCAGTTTACAAGGTAAACTGGAATGAAAAAACATGCATACTGCCTGTTAGGATATGTTTCTGCATAGCAGTGGTCTTGTCTGTTGTAGCACTTGCTTTGACACTGTGGTCTTTCAAATGCAGAAACATGGCCACAACCCCAAACCATTTGATTTTTCGCGAAGGCTTTCACGGCCGGGATCTCAGAGCAGAGGACAGTTGCTGTCCTCTGAAGATGCCGGCCACAGAGACTGGCGAAACGTCAGGAAGCACAACCTTCAGAACACGGCCAAAGAGCCTGAAAAACCCAGAACAACCATTTGATTTTATTTTAGTGGAAGCCTTGGGAGTTCTTTAACTTCCCTGTAGAAAATTTTATGGATTGCTTACTCATCTTACACTTTTCTGCAGCATACATGCCTGCTGCAAAACAAACTTCCTGCTCTCTTTGCCCCTTTATATGGTAAATTTTGGTCTTCAGCAGTGAAACTAGATGATTGATGAACCTGGCCTTTGAACAGCTATGCTTTTACATATAGGGGTCTCTCTTGGAAGAGAGGGAGAGAAACTAATTTAGACCAGCGATTTAGAATTTGGAATAGTCTCCTGGATTACGCTGTGGTATCTGACTACCCAGCTGCTGTTGCCAGGTGCATAGGCAAAATTCTCTTACCTGATTATGCTGGCATAACATAAATGGCATAATATTTGGAGGCAAATTGCCTGAAGTTAAGAAATCACGAATAGTATCTGTTTCATACTGAATTGTAGGACTGAACATTCGACTGATAAATGTCTACAATAATGTCTTAACATGGGGCAATTTGCTTGCAAAGGTTACAATATTTACATAGCTACGCAACAAGATTTTGGCCGCAAAGATACAACAGGTTGTCTGTATGGTCCATGTAGGAGAACATATATTTTTTAATGTGTGCACAAATAACCTTGCCCATTATGGCTGACTGACTCAAGATAAAATAAGGTGAATGAAATGCTGAGCTGAAGATTGTATATGTTAGGTATAAAAACCAAAATTAAAATAAAGGATATTTGCAACAGAGAGGATCAGTTGCCATAGTAATACGTTTTTATCTTCAGTCTGCTGAAGATGTTACTAATATTAAAGCTCAAGATTTTAAAAGCAGTTTTAGGGTGTTCCAACCTAACAACTGGTTTAAAAAAGAATAAATGAAACTTAACATTGAGAATAATACCAAATCAAAGCTCATTGTAACTTCATTATGTATAGATTGTATAATTTCTGTGTTTGAGGTTAGTTGGGAGGGTTCAAGTTTGCTCAAGGGTTGCCTTCTCAATTCATGTACCTACTTTTTCATATTATGTTTCTGAGCTTGGTTATTTCAGTGATTTGAAATGCCTACTAATTTCTCCCCTTCTTAAGAATTAGCAAGTGTCTCAAATGAAATTGTCTGTGAAGAATTCTTAAAGAATTCTGAAGAATTCCACACATCGTCCTCATGGTTGTCCGGTCCGTGTTGTATCTATGTAGTACATGCATGGATTGATAATGTCTTGATCCTCTTCCCTATTGTGTTTAAGGCTTTTTCATGCCATGTTGGTTTTTCTTTTTTCTTTTTTTTTAAAGGAAGGCTTTAAAATGAGAGGCTTTAAACCAAAAGATAAGTAGGGTCACCAAATGACTTTGAAAACTGATCACATGACTTTTCCCCTTAATTAGTAATTCAGTGCAGTTTGAATATGGATTGGGTAAGAAGATAATAAAGATACTTCTGGATATATGCATGTCCAGAGATTGCCCTGGCTTTTCATTTTGCCAAATGAAAAAAAATCCCACCATCGTTTTATTTGTATTTTCTGACTGTAAACATATAGGCTCTGATTTTAGTTATGTGTACAGTGGTGCCCCGCATAACGGGCGCACCGTTTAACGACGAATCCGCATAGTGATGTTTTTTGCGACCGTTTTTGCGATCGCATTGCGATGCTTTAAATGGTAAAACATCGCTTTGCGACGATCGGTAAGCTGTTTCGCTTACCAATTTTCGCGTAGCGATGTTTTCCTAACAGCTGATCGGTGGTTCCAAAATGCCCACCGGGTAAAAAAAATGGCTGCCTGCAGTGTTTTCGCGACCATTCCTCGCTTACCAGGCAGCGAATATGGCGGCCATATGGAGGATTCTCGCAGAACGGTGAGTTTTTTGCCCATAGGAACGCATTAAACATGTTTTAATGCATTCCTATGGGCTTTTTTGTTCCGCATAGCAACGAATCCGTATAGTGATGATTTTTCCGGAACGGATTATCGTCGCTGTGCGGGGCACCACTGTATATCAAAGAAGGGGAAAACCCATGGGTGCACATACGCACCTATTTTGGTCTCAATTTTATGAGATAGAAAAGCACTTGCACAAATTAGAAGATGATCATTCAGAAAGAGCATCACCAGTGTCATTGCCAAATCAAATACTCTATCACCAAAACAGACAATTTATGACAGGGTGGGGGGAAATAATGTACAGTATGTTGTCATCTTTGCACGTCGTAGTAGGCCACATCTCAGAGGCATTCTTTTCTGTGTAATACAAAATGAGGAGAATTTCTCTTTAAATATTATGCTTGCTGTTTCAGATTTTGAGTATTTGTTATTACTTTTTAAAACCAATCTACTGTACTTGATAAGAGGTACCTTCTGCTCAATTGAAAACCTCATTTTTGGAAGGTTAGAAAGTGACTATGTACTTCCTCTGAAGCCACATGCTTAAATCCTACAAGATTTTTGAAAATAACTAATTTTGTGAGAGTATGTTGTGGGGAATGTGAAATCTTTCCCTGAAGTACAAATTTAATCTTTGATATTGACATGCATCACTTCATTGAAATGAAAATATTCATAAAAGCCAGTTGCAAAAATAAATTTCCAGTTTGAGGTCTTGCTTGTTAAAACAGTTCTTTGACAAACTGTTCTTGCATAACAGTTCTCCTGTCTTATGTATGGAAATAGTAGATACTAGAAGGAAGCCACTGATAAAGCGTATCTAGCAAGAATACCTAGAAGGGTTACTGCTGCCCAAGCAAGATTAGTTGTTCAGGCTGAGATTTATCTTGTCTAATTCTTTCCCCTTTACCACTCTCGATAACAACATTGGCTACCCCCTTTGCTTACTGCCATAGGAGTGAGTCATCTTGCATGGTGAATGTTGAGTTGCACATCCAATTTTGCATTTAGCTTGCACTCTTGTTTGATTGCATCAGTTTTCATGTTTCCATGCTTGAGAGTCTCATGACAGATAGCCAAGCTACAATTAAATATTTATTTGGCAAACTGCAGAATGAGAGTTTTGAAAAAGCTGTAGCTCTGTTGGATAGTTGAAACTTTCTAAAAATACATACGCATTTACCAAGGGACACACTGGCAATGACTTTATAAGTTACTAGGATGACTTTGTCAACAGTTGAAAGGTCTTGCTCATGACTTGGCTTCAGTTCTTTGATTTTCGGGAATCCAAACAGTTCATTGAGTATTGTTCTAAAGATTACTCCCTCATACATCACTGATGCTTAAAAAAAGATGCCTGTGAAATAGCTCTAGATTTTTCTGATGTTCTTACCAGTTTCTCTCCCTACTCACTTTCCATGAGAGCAATATCAGGCAGTGAGCCATTCTAAGAGGCAATGGTGTGTTCTGAGCCAGAAGTTCATTCAAATAGAACTTTTGGCTCAAAGTTGTAGCTTCAGGTTAAACGTGTTCTAGAATGGTCTGTAATTCTTAAGATTTTGTTTATTTTTTAACAGTGTGGACAACTTGGCCTAAGTCCCTCACATTATTACAAATTCAGTATTATGAACACCTCTGCCTCAGTCCTCACAGCATTATGAACTGTTCAGGATGAGAGTTGTGACAGTGTAGAAAAATACCTTGCACGTGTATGTGTCTGGTTTCTGCTAAAGAGCATATTGGAAGTGCTGAGTGTGACTAGGAATCTGTGTAATAAATTGCTGTACCTGCTGTAAAATAAAATTGTATATTTTAAACTTCAAGAAATATCAGTTTGGAAATTCAAAAGGCATTATGAAAATTCCACTGTTCGTGTACTTGTAAAACAATCTCTGTTAAAGCAGCACAACTCAATTTACAGAATATTAAATGTGTGCTGTGATAGGGTAAATAGGAGGTATTAGAGAGGTTCTGAATTCAGCCAACTATGAATTTTAGAGAGGCAATACTTGAATTTAAGGCAAGTTAACAATTAAGTTTTCATTGAAATAATATGAGGCTGTCTGGACTATACCATTTCTGACCACAGCCAGAGTTTCAGACAAAAAGCCTTCATAAATTTCCTTCCATGCACGAAAGCAAATGTTGGGGGAAATGGTTTTAGGCATGAATTTTTTCATCATGTGCTAAGGTTTTGTTCTAGTTTTGCTTCTTCTCTGTAGGAAAGTTACTATACAAGAGGCCTCACCTACAGTTTGAACCATAGATATTATGTGTAAGTATACCACCTCACTGAAAACTAGAGCATCTTAAGGGTGACACTGCTCAATTGCTTCAGTAGATAGTATTGCAGAGTAAGAAATTATTCCTTTCATCATTTTATTGATTGATTGGTTGGTTGGTTGATTGATTGGGTTTCTATCCCGCCCATCTAGACCAAAGGTCTACTCTGGGTGGTTAATATAGTCTGAGATGAGATAATTTCTTTGTTGTGATCTCCTGTTCATTCTCCGCACCGTTGATTATGTTTTTAAAAAATAGCATAAAGGGAGAAAGCATTTGGGATACAGAGAGACATGAACACACCCACTTCTCATATGGCAGGTGTGCACTTTCTCTCTCATATTTTCAACAAAAATATTCTTTGAAAGGCAGCTTTTGTTTACAGTCTTCTAACATTTGTATTGAAACTAGGAGAAGTAGGCTGCTTTCTGTGGAGGAGAGCACAGTGTTGGCTAAACTCAAATTCACATTAACTTTAATTTTAAACCCCTGGTGCTTTGCTATCTTCAGGAAGTGGATATGGTGGTAGCTCCATGTCGAGGATTCCAGTCAGCAGAAGTCACTTTAGAAGAACACATGAACAATGTCCTTCCAGTCATCACTTTTGCCATCAGTGAGACAGAACTCTCAGCACTGGATGTGAATGAACTGCAAGCGATTAAAGAGAAAGTCTCTTTGCCTGTCTTCTTTTTCAAAGTGCCAGATTTGGGAGTTGATCTGGGAGCCCTTCAAAATGCAAATGAAAAGTCCTCCCTTTATCAGCAGTTGCTGGATTTAGACTACCTGAGTACCAACCACTGTAGCTGTGGAGCTCCCAGCTCTGATGCCAAAGCCCAGAGCATGTTGGTAGAACAATCGGATAAGATCCGTCTGCTTAGCACTTTTGCCAGGCAGGTGCTGCAGAAACACTTGGTGGATGCAGCTACCATCTTGAACATAGTACATTGCCGTTGCCTGGACCTCTTCATCAATCAAGCCTTTGACATGCAGCGAGACCTGCAGATCACTCCAAAGCGTCTAGAATACACGCAGAAAAAAGAGAATGAGCTGTATGAGTCTCTGATGAATATAGCCAACCGCAAACAGGAGGAAATGAAAGACATGATAATTGAGACACTTAATAACATGAAAGAAGAGCTACTGGAAGATGCCGCTAATATGGAATTCAAAGGTAACTTTCACAAAAAAAACCCCCAACATAATAGAACCTGACTTTCAAGTATAAGCCACTTGTTAAGGGAACTTAATTTTGCTTGTTTATGTTTGTAAATCTTAATCATCTCTTGCATGGTGAATTCCATCCTTGTCCAGATGTAAAATAATCCATCCACATAGTTCTTCTTGACATTATGACGTAAGCCATGCCTTGCTCTTTGTGAAATATCTTGCTTGCAAATCAAGTGAACATGCTGTTAGGTATGTAACTTCTAGTCATAAAGTTAACCCCCATCTGGCTTTTGTAACCATTTCCATATGGCTAAAGAATGTCTAAAAATATAAAAGAACACTTTCTAAACAAGGCTTCTTTTGTTATAGTGTGCAAGCGTTATTATTATTATTATTTTTTGGCTATTTTATTTTGTTTGCGAACTCATTTTCTTAATGTCTCTTTATGATGATTTTTTCTTTGCCATATTTCATTTATGCTTGCTGGTTTAAAATTTCTGGGCATTCTAAGGCATGTAGCCAGAGAATGCTAGTATAATTGCCAAATCAACTATCCATTGCCTGAATGGCACTAGTATAGGAGTAGAACAGTAAATAGCAACTGACTCATCCACAAAAAAAACCACCCCCAAAATATCAGTCTTGTGACCCGGGTTTGCTGTTTACAGTATTTGTGCAGGAGTCGTGAGAAATATGTCTTCAGGCAAATGCAAATTCTTGATTTTTCTTCACATGGTCACATTCATGCATTATGGCTTTGCTACTTTGAGGTAGTTAATGGTGTTGCAGGAAGAGAAAGAATAGTGATTTACATGTGGTTATTTTAATAAACCGCTGGATCTTTGGACTTCATTAATTCTTGAAAAATGTAAAGATAAGTCTGCCTTCTATATGTAAGGTTTCTTTAAACAAAGGACAGCTGCAAAAATAATGACAGGGCATTCTTCTGCAAACATAAAGTGTTCTCTTTTTAAAATATTGACCGATCTGCAATATAGCAGATTTCTGCAGCCATAAAGCAAAGCAAAGCGTGCTGCTTATATACTGCTCCATAGTGCTTCAAGCACTCTCTGGGCAGTTTACAAGTTAATTATGCAGGCTACACATTGCCCCCCCCCAAGCAAGCTGGGTACTCATTTTACCCACCTCAGAAGGATAGAAGGCTGAGTCAACCTTGAGCCAGCTACCTGGGATTGAACCCCAGGTCGTGAGCACAGTTTTGGCTGCAGTACAGCAGTTTAACCACTGCGCCACAAGGCTCTAAAAGCTAATGGGAAAATGCGTATTAACATGTAAGGAAACTAGTAGCATAATTCGAAACATATTAATTGAAAAGTAAGCCTTCATTGGAACTTACTTTTTAGTAAATACTTAGGATTGCTCTCTTTAAGATTTATCACTTTTTTTCCTCTTCCTGTAACAATAACACATTATGCCTTTTGAAAAACTGAATCACGTTTAAGAAATAAATTAGTAGTTCTTGACTCACAAAGCTAATGCACTGGATTTTATGTTTTAAATTCTATGTGAGTAGACTTCAACTCTGTGAGCAAGTTCTTATGTGAAATTCTTTATCATTTTCCCATGAGCTGTAAACAATGTTAGTCTAACACTTATTGCCATTAGCATTTAGACCAGCCATTCTCAATATTTTCCCCCCATGACACTTTTAGGAGCTCTTCTAAGGTTCCAGGACCCATCTCAAACAATGCTACAGCACAAACAGATGAAGGAGGTGGGGAAATCAGTATGTTCCTCCCTTCAAATATGCCAGGGCCCCCTTTGGGGCCATATGGGCTGCAACTGAAAATGACTGTTTGGACTACAAGTATGTTGATCCAAGTGAACAAGATGAGTCTGTCTTGAAAAACATCTCTTGAACATAAGTCTTATAACTGAAATCTAGTAGTGTGATTCATCCATCCAGTTTAAACACTTTTAACAGTCTAATGCTGTACATGCCTATCGAGAAATAATTTCCATTGAATTTAATTGGATGTGTGCTCAAAAAAGTGGCTATAAGATCATAGTCTGTCAGGCTGAATTAAACGGGGAAGTTTTAATTGGATGTGTGCTCAAAAAAGTGGCTGTCAGGCTGAATTAAACGGGGAAGTGCTAAACAAATGGTCAACCTCCCATTGACCCTAAGGCAGCATTTTGTGGGCTTTCTGAATAGCAGAGCATTTCAGAAGAAAACAAGGCAGCATTTTGTGGGCTTTCTGAATAGAGTATTTCAGAGGAAAAGCAGTGTGGATAATGAATGCACTGGAAAACTTTCATTGCACCCAAGCTACTGCATTTAATGCTGTATTCATTTTATATGGGTATTTATACTGGGATCATAATGGTATGTGTTACCTATATAATGTTGATTCATTTTTCTCTTCTCCACCTTCTCCTACCCAGATATTATAATTCCTGAGAATGGAGAGCCTATTAGCTCCAAAGACATTAAATGTTGCATTAAGCAAATCCAGGAACTGATCATTTCAAGGCTAAACCAAGCAGTGGCCAACAAACTAATAAGTTCTGTGGACTACCTGCGTGAAAGCTTTGTAGGGACTCTGGAACGATGTCTGAAGAGTCTGGAGAAATCTCAGCAAGATGTTTCAGTGCATATTACAAGCAACTATTTAAAACAGGTAAAGTAGCACATACAGTGGTGCCTCGCTAGACAGTTACCCCACATGACAGTTTTTTCGCTACTGACTTTTTGTGATCGCTATAGCAATTCGCAAAACAGTGATTCCTATGGGGGAATTTTGTCAGACAGTGTTTGGTCCCTGCTTCGCAAACCGATTTTCGCTAGACAACAACTTTGACAGTTCCCTCCATGGTCACAAAATGGATGTTTTCGGGACCTAAGCTTCGCAGGACAGCCATTTAAACAGCTGATCAGTGGTTGGCAAAGCGGCTTTCCTATGGCCGATCTTCGCCAGACAACGACGATTTGTCCCCATTGGAATGCATTAAACAGGTTTCAATGCATTCCAATGGAGAAATGCTTTTCGCTAGATGATGATTTCGCTAAACAGCAATTTCAGTGGAACGGATTATCATCATCTAGCGAGGCACCACTGTATAATTGGTAAGTTATAATCTGTTTTTACAATGCTGACTGCAGTCAGTATTTAGAAAAAGTAATGAAGTTGATGGAGGAAGAATTTAGTTCTTTGCTATATCAGCCCAAAAATCTTATTGCTTTAAGTAATAGTTTGAGGAAATATGATTACAGATGATATCTCTGTTTCCAAGGTATTCAATGTTTTTCTTAAACCATATAACAGGCAATAATTTCTGTTTGAATATCTAATTTAACACATTTTCTGCTTACAGATTTTGAATGCAGCCTACCATGTTGAAGTAACTTTTCACTCTGGTTCAACAGTATCTAGAATGCTGTGGGAGCAGATTAAGCAGGTATTAAATATTTTTATAGTAGGATGCTCAAAGTCATCATAATGGAACTTGGATCTTCAGTAGATCTTTTTGTTTCCAGTCATTCAAATCTTTGTACACCAGCCTAATTTATAAAGTTGTACTTCTGTCATTTGTGGTGTCCACAAGTATCCCACAGTGGAATAAAGGCTAGCTAGTATGGAAGGTGATCTGCTAAAATATGGCAGGTGTGTGGCAGGCAAGAAGAAAATGTTGTTCTTGTACCTCTTAATACCTGGATGTTCCAATTTACAGGTGTCTGGGTAATACACTGCAGATTAATACGATAGCTGTTTTCGCTTCTTTAGATAATACAACGGATTACTTGGGTGAGCCCACCAGCTATTACTACAGAGTGGAAAAAGAAAGTAGCTCAGGATGCCATTGAAAGTCTTAGTGCATCAAGACTGGCCAAGAGCATCTGCAGCCAATTCCGGACAAGACTGAATAGTTCTCATGAAGCTTTTGCAGCCTCCTTGAGACAGGTCAGTTTGACAGAAAGAGAACTGCAGAGCATAAGGATGAGCAAACCTATGTCAGTTTTTCAGGTAACATGAAGGACAAAGCCTGTTGGGTCATTCTTCCCTCTTTGCTACTCAGAATAACCATTCAACACTACTTTGTATCTCCTGGTCCTCTTAAAGCTGGCAGAAATAGCTGTAATAGCACATCAGTGCTTCTTCCTTGGAAAGCAACTAGTGTGGCATTGTGACCTTTGCTTCCTGACTTTCAAAAATGAGAAAGAGGGAAGTGATAGTACTGCCATGCCCTTTCTCCAGCTACAGAAGCACTAGCAAATCAGCATCAGAGCATTTGTGTGGTGTGCTTACTTTAAAGCACTAAATGAACCAATTACCACAATGTTCTGAAGCTATGGAAACAACTGGAAAGAGGTGCTATATATCATCTGCTTTATCTCAGGTAATTTCTCCAACTTCTGATGTCTTCTAATTTAGGCTAATCTGGCAACTCATGTTTTGGGATACCACTCATGAATTGGAGAAGCTGACCAGACAACTGGAGTGTTTACAGCTGGTCTGTGATGCTACAACCAAAGCTGCTATATTTTGATTTTGTTGAATTATTTTTAACTCATCCTGTGCCATTGCCAAAGTTTCTTCCCCTTTAGATTTGTAGCATTCTTTTTGAACTTGGTAAAATGCTCGTAGAGTGCGAGTTATGGGAATTTATCTATAGTCTACTATCCATTCTAATCCTGAGCTCCCTAGGTATGAAAGAAACCTATGATCGTTTCCTTCACACAAGGAAAGAGATGACCATGAGTGAGGCATTTATTATGTAATGTTGGTGAACACACATGTTTATGGCCCAATCTATGGTAACCCTGGTAACTGTAGTACATCCATTGATGCAGTGGAACATAAGTGTTTTCTTACCAAAGTTCGATTGATTCAATGAGCCTAATCTAATTGGATCAGTTTGCAGTCTTAAGTGTGTTAAATTAAATATGTTGAACTTCTCCTGTCTTGCTTGTACATTTGAGAATCGTATACATTTGCTCTTAGAACATTGTAACCTTCCCTTTGAAAGTTGCATATCTCTCCAGCAGGCAGTCACTCAAAGGGGCAGTATAATATATATACAATGACGTGTAGCCACACCATTTGCAATTCCCTAGAGGTGGGGGGTGGTAAACATGAGATATACCTAATATGCAGTCTCTTCAAGGATTCAGATGAGATCCCTGACACCAGGGATTTAGAAGAAATGGAGGAAATGCTTCTTTTCTCAGAGGTAGCTTCTCAGAAGTAACTAGAAGAACATAATGGGTGTTTTAGAAAAGCACCAAAGTGGCTTTAAAAGCAGTTGGTGCACTAGCTTTCTCTTGAGACCATGAAGGAAGATCTATACTGATTCATGGGCATTGATTTTTATCAACTCCCCAAGATTGGAGATTCTGGTCGCAGTGACCAGATAGGCGGGGTATAAATGGAATAAATAAAAATAATAAATAAATACAGAAAATTTGGTTATATTTCCTCCCTTTTTTACAGTACAGTATCAATCTGCCTATTTAAATCATGTTCAGATAATATAGTTAGAAGACCAGAGAAGCACATTGTTTCACAAGCACATTATCTAGAATGGGTCAATAGAAATATATTCCTAACAAGCTTATTATTTTAATCTAGAACAGTGTTTAATTCTTTAGCAAGGAAAAAATGGAGAAGTAGATTGTAGAAAAGATATCTAGATGCTATTTACAGGAGGACAAGGCTGTGCTGAAATTTGTCGTTATGTCTTGTTAGCTAGAGGCTGGCCATTCAGGCAGGCTGGAGAAGACAGAAGATCTTTGGTTGAAAGTGCGAAAGGACCATGCCCCTCGTCTTGCCCGCCTTTCATTGGAAAGCAGATCCCTGCAAGATGTTTTGTTACATGGTGAGTATTACCTCATTTATTCTTCCATTTACTGATCACTTTCCTCAAATTCTCCTAAATGCATTCTTGTTGTAGAAATATATTGGTTTGGGGTTGCAGTATACCATACCCAATATATGCTCATAGTATTCATGCAGCCCTCTGTTGACTCTAAAAATCTGCTCTGAAGACCTAATGGACTCTTGACCAGGTGAGATATGGTGCCTTCCCCAACAGGAAGAAGGGGGGCTGCAATAAAGATGGTCTACAGCACTGGTTCTTAACCTTGGGTTACTCAGGAGTTTTGGACTGCAACTCCCAGAAGCCTTCACCACCAACTGTGCTGGCTGGGGTTTCTGGGAGTTGCAGTTCAAAAACATCCGAGTAGCAAAGGTTAAGAACCACTGATCTACATACAGGATACCTCCTTCTGCTTACTTCCATTCACATTTGTTGAAAAACAGCCATGACCGTTGCTTTATTTTTTGGTGGGAACTGGTTAACTGTTTAAAAAAAAAGAGTCATGTGGGATTTTCCCTTGATGCCTCTTTGTGAAAAGTATCTTGACCACTGCCATTTAGCATTGAGGCTGCCTGTTGCTATGTAAAGTTTGGCATCCTCTTTCCTGCTGGCAAAGCAGCATGATATTGTGCAGCATATCCTGGCATTTTGAATTATGGATGCAGCACAGTATTTCAAAGTCATAAACAGGAGGGTTTTTTTTTTTTGGAAGAATTTAATTTCCTGGATTTTAAGACAGAAGTTTGAGTATACATACCCCAAACACAGATTCCAGCAGAAAGTTCCCTCATGTGGAATTACCCAGTGCTACAAATTGAGCACATGATCTGTGCTATGGTTACTGGAGGAGGACAGACGCAAGAACACCTGGGATGTGGCTGTATTCCCTTTGTGCCAAAATATTTTGGTCTTCATGAAATGGTGAACAAAGGTGTAAGTGCAATGCATGCAGTGGAGAAACATACACACCCTTTAACCTCTCAGATGAACTAATGTTGTCATGCCCGCTTCACAGAGTGCAGACTCGAAAGTTGTGTTTTAATTTCCATACCCTTTCCTTGACAGGGTGCCTGAGGAAGAAAACCTATACTGAATGAAAAGCTCTACAAACATGCATGTTTTCCAAAAGACGTCCCCTTGCCTTTTGACATTTAAAAAAAAGGGGGTGGGGGATGGCTCAGAGTTAACAAATATTGTCACTGGAAATCAGGGTCAAAATCATTCATACTATGTAAAAGAAAGACAGGGAGAAAGAATAAACTCATTTAAAATGTGGTGTTGGAGGACAGAGCCTTACAGATAGCACAGGCAGCCAAAAAGGCAGAAAAGTGGGTGCATCAGGTTGAGCCTAAAAACTCACTGAAGCAAAAATGAGTCAATTGAGCTCGTCCTACCATTCACATACAATGGAAATACAGAAGTGACCAAAATAGACAGTATTGCTGTAATGGAGGGGTAGTTAGGAAAAGAAGAAGACCTAACATGAGACATTGTCTCAAGAAAGGAAGCCACAGCTGTTAGTTTGCAAGACCTGAGCAGAATTTATTGGAAAAGACAATATTGCTAAGAAGTGTGGGCAGTAGGACGTAATACAAGATGTTGTTGGTTTGTAAGATCGGAGCAGAGTTGTTAATGTTGCAAGTTATAAACTCATGTAGTCACTAAGCATCTGAAATGACTTTCTGAGACATAAAATCTTCAGAGTTTTTTTTAAAATTACCAAACAGTTATATAGTGACAAGATGGGTGGAATGGTTGAGCATATGACAGACTATTGGCACCAAAAGCCTGCTGACATCATGTAATACCATGTCCAGCCATAAAGCAAAAAATGGTAATTTCACAGCTTAAATGAGTGATCTCCTGAATATTTGTTTGTTATTGTTTTTCTTAATATCTTTTAAACAAAGTTTACAACCAGACACAGAATCCCTTTGCAAGCAAGCATGAATCTCTGTTTGGCCAGGGAGCTAAAAATTCAATTGGGTCCTGATTGACAGGTTTAAATGTTCAGATTGCCCTAGCCCAGGAGTTGATTTCCTCTTTGAAATCTTGTTTCAAGGGCCTTGTCTCAGAAATTCTGAGGAAGCATTTGGGGGGGGGGGGCAAACACAACAGTATTGTTTTTTTCTAATGCAGAAATACTCTGAGTATGCCTTACAAAATTGTATGCTAATCCCTTGAAGAGGCAAAATATCCCCCATTCTGAAGGACTGTCATTTCATTACTTTCTTTAAAGCAAACCTGCTTCGTGACGTTTTAAAGAAAACTTGTGTTTTGACTTCATTACTTTCTTTAAAGCAAACCTGCTTCTTGACATTTTAAAGAAAACTTGTGTTTTGACTGTTTCTGTGACGTTTCATTGCCCTAGGTTTCCAAATATTTCCCTTCACAACAATGAAGCTGCATCTACTTTGCAAAGCTCTGTTCCACACATGCTCAATGTGATGAAAAACCACTGTTTTTGTCTCTTAGACCTTTTTTGAGGATCACTATTTTTATTATTATTTTTCAAACTAAAAAAGTCAGAAAAAAGACCAAAAAAGAAAATGTAATTAACGTTGCCAGTATTTTAGCTACTGCAAGCTGGGTTCTTTCCAAGTTAAAAAGGCAGATGTTGTTTTGTTTGTTTGTTTGTTTGTTTGTTTATTGTATTTATTGTATTTATTTATTGTATTTATACCCCTCCTATGTAGTCATTTCGACCACTCTAGGCGGCTTACAAAATAAAGTTGTTGTTGTTTAGTCATTTAGTCATGTCCGACTCTTCGTGACCCCATGGACCAGAGCACGCCAGGCTCCCCCTGTCCTCCACTGCCTCCCGGAGTTGGGTCAACTTCATGTTGGTCGCTTCGGTGACACTGTCCAACCATCTTGTCCTCTGTCGTCCTCTTCGCCTATTGCCTTCCCTCTTTCCTAACATCAGGGTCTTTTCTAGAGAGTCTTCTCATGAGATGGCCAAAGTATTGGAGCCTCAGCTTCAATTTTTTAGAACTACCATAAGTCGAAAGAGACTTATTGGCACATAATTATTAAAAAATGTTTTAAAAGGAACATAAAAGAAGCAGCAGGAGGCAGCAGAATTAATACAGTGAAATCAAACTACAGCTTAATATTTGCAGAAGCAGGGGAGCACATAGCCTTTAAAAATTGCATTTTAGCAACAGAGACCAGTATCCTGTTGCACACCTCCACCAGCAGATGGGGTGATGTCACCAGCAGTGGCAGATGGTTGCTCATTAAAAAGTACTTGCTTTGATTTCAGTTTTCATGCAAATTGTATGGAACAGGACAAAGCCTTGTGCAACCTGAAATTGAAGGAAGAACTGTTTAACTAGAAGTAACCTGTTTCTTTTGGTGACAGGACTCCTAATATACCGCCTACAAAACAGGATTTGCTTATTTAGTATACCTCTTGCATTTAAAAGCAGCACGCTTTGCTTTTAAATATTGAGACATTCCCCCAAATGGAATTTTGAGCAAAACATGAAGGATGTATATAAGAGCATATACAGAAGCATATAAAATGTGTCCTCTGATAAACTTTTCTGTGTTTCAGGTAAACCAAAGCTAGGCCGTGAGCTGGGCCGAGGGCAATATGGAGTGGTGTATTTGTGTAATGCCTGGGGGGGCCACTTCCCATGTGCACTGAAATCTGTTGTGCCACCAGATGAGAAACATTGGAATGACCTTGCCCTTGAGTTTCACTATATGAGGTATGGGGTTGTGGACTAGTGATGACTGCGAAGTAGCTTGGAAGACCTGTCTAAAAAACCAAAACAATCATATAATTGACTCTGGCATCAAATTGTCCTAATGCAGGGATCTCCAAAGTATGGCCCGTGGGCCACATTTGGCTCACCTTGCTTTTTTATAAGGCCCGTGTGTGCGTGTGTGAATGACACAAATTAGGGATGCTTGATTTTGTTTTATAGCCCAACTAACCTCTGTCCTAGCAAAGTTTAGATTTCATAATTCTTCTGTTAACTAGTATCTAAAGTATTAGAGGTTGGCTGATTTTGGAATCTGGCTGCATAGCTAGAGGTTGAGGATTCGATTCCCCAGCCCGATTGGCCTTGTGCAAGTTACACAGTCCCAGGGTACCCAAAAAAGAAAGGAATGGTAAATACCTTCTAAGTACTCACTACCTGGAAAACCTTGGAAAAGGTCACCATGGGTTGGAATTGACTTCATGGTATGCAATTATTATTATTAGAAGGTCTGCTAGAAGATGAGACTGTGCATTGTAATGGAATACTCCTTCCATGATAGAGAATGTGTTACATTTAAAAAAAGTGTAAAACAGTTACGTGTTTTGCACATATTTCTAGCACGAGAGGTTAAGGAAAATTATATTAGAATCTTTTGAGTAATATAGAACTGCTTGTGGTGTCTTCTTTTTCTGTCATTACTGTGGGGGGGTGGATTCTAAGAAGGGAACTAGGCAGAATTTACACCCATCATTGCCAGTTAACCTTGGAAATTGTATAAAATCTTTCCCTAGGTCTTTGCCAAAGCATGAGCGATTAGTAGACCTTCATGGATCTGTGATAGATTATGGTTATGGAGGAGGTTCCAGCATTGCTGTTCTACTGATAATGGAACAATTGCACCGAGATCTCTACACAGGATTAAAGGTGAGAAATAGAACATCTTGAAAGGAAAATTGACCTGGTGTCTAATTATCATTGCTGAATGTTCTTGCATGCTTGTGACTAGAAATAATAACATGGAAGTGTGTTCTTTTTGGAACAATGAAAGTCTGGTTCTCCCTGCTCCGGCTCAGAGTTCCAGCCATTCTTAAACCTTGTGAGCTCCTACTTAGGGCTCCTGTCAGGAGTGAAGCTGAATAGAGGAGAGGGAGAAAAATACAACTTTTGGTTGTATTATACCATGTATTCCCATCCTCCTGAAATCTTTCCCCACCATGCAAAGTAGTGCTAAAGGGCTTGGGTATTGGTCCTTGTATTTGGGTGGGTGAGGGGAGTGTTCTAGAAAGTGGGAAAAGGACATAGTAACTTTCCTTTCATCCATTCTGAAACCTTCCATGTACTCTGAGGAAGACAGTGCTTTCTCTCTCTGGGGGTATATTGAGATGGACATCATGCGTCCCATAGACCACGTGCAGTCCCCCCCCCAGCACTTTTTTGCAGGCCCCAGTGCCATCCCTGGGTCTTAGGTTACTTTCTCATTATGATGGAAGCACAGCTTAATAGGTAGAAATACAAATATCTTTAAGGGATCAGTAACATATGTTTATCCCCCCCCCCCAGGCTGGATTGACACTGGAGACAAGATTGCAGATTGCCTTGGATGTAGTTGAAGGGATTCGGTTTCTTCACAGCCAAGGCCTTGTTCACAGAGATATCAAACTTAAAAATGTATTGGTAAGCCATAGATTTTTGCCTCTTTAGTTTTGCACTGCCTGCTGGAATGGAATGAGACATCAGTAGGAAAAAGAATGGCCTTGATCATGCTATTCTTTAAGAAGATTCCTGTGTTTTTATGTCAGATGAAAAGCACTTCATCTTAAGTGATTTTCTTTCTGGAAAAAAAAGTATAAATGTTGTGACTTACACTTTTTTAAAAATTGAACTCTGAAGAGCAAAGGGAGACAGCAGCCCAGGAGCAAGGAGGGTGGGACTGCAGAAGAAACTGGGGGATTCCTAGCCTTCATTTAATTAGAATTCCAAACCATGCCCATTTTATATGGATCTTTTTCCCCCAAAGTCAGAATTTTTTAAACCAAGCCATGCCCCAAAGGAGCTAATAGTAGTTTAAAATGAACTGGAGTGAAGAGAGAGATGTTTGTTCTTTCTCATAACTAAATAACACAATTGTCTATCCATTGAAACTGACTGACATGTTCAGAACAGGTGAAAGGGCTGTTAACTCCCAGTACCATAAGATGTGACGGTAGCCAACATAGCAGTTTCAGCTTTAGAAAGGACATATTTCCCATGCATATAAGGTAGGATAACCAGAAGTCAAATCTCTGAGATAGAATCTGGCCATCCATTCAAAGTTATGCAAAAGAGAAAAAGTAGGGATTGGCCATTACCTTGTGCTTCATTTAGTAATTTTCAAGATTTTGTGACCTGCCACTGCTATAGACAAAATGTTGGCTTGGATTACAAATATGAACTCTAGCATTTTTTCAGCAAAGGGATTTTTGTTATGTTTTTATAACTGGGATTGTTTTGTAGAGGATACTGTTACTAAGGAGATGACTCGGTAGTAAGTCAGTCTTAAGAGGTGGGTTTGCCTTAAGTCTTTTGTATCTTTTTCAGCTTGATAAAAATAACAGAGCTAAAATCACGGATCTGGGATTTTGCAAACCTGAAGCAATGATGTCTGGTAGTATTGTTGGGACTCCTATTCATATGGCTCCTGAACTTTTCACAGGTAAGCTTGTTGTTGGTCTTCTGCTGACTGTTAACTATGCAGTCAAATCTCTAAATGGGAAATTTACCTAGAGTACTGCAAAACAACGGGTTATTCCACATATCCCAGGTAACAGTGAAGAGTATACGTAATAGGTATGTAAGTAAGACCCATTGAAGTTTGTTGGATTTAATTCTGAACATGCATCTTTAGGATTATGTTACACAACAGATATCTGAAGCAAAAGCAAATGCCCAGTGTTGATACTTAAGACTTTTTCTCTGCACTGGCATAAATAATTGTCTCAGGGTTTTTGTCCTATGATAAATCTGGTTAGAATTTCTTTGAAAGCTGTTGTAAATTAAGATGATCTTATTGTAGTACTTGAATAGAATAATGCCATGATATACAGTAAAGAGATTATCTTGACAAGTTAAAAATAAAATTATAGCATGTCTGTTATCCACAGAGGAAGGGCAAATGTTGGGTCCCCGTATCTCCTTTGCAAAACCCACCATTGTATTATCTTTGGATCAGCATTTGGTAGAGAAGTGCTGCTACATGTCTGCATCATTATCAGCTTAATTCAGCAGTTTGTTTCATAACAACAAAGTAGAAACTTCTAGTTCTGTTACATACCACTGTCTGAAGACTTGGAGAGGGTAAACATAACTCCTTGGCAACATCTGATTGAAACATAATTAAGTGCAAGTTTTTAGCAATACCAGATTAAGCACAACTCCTTATCAATTTAAGAATAAAATTCCATCCCATTAAAAGTCATTTCCATCTTGAGCCCTGAAAAACCAGCACTTCTTACAAAGCTTCTACGAAGTGTTCAGGCTTGGATTTCAGCTGGCTTCCAGAGATAGCAGGTTCTCTATAAATTGGTAGGGACAGCACAGAGATAACCCTTTAATGCCCTTTTTGCCTAAAACTGACAGGCACATGGTATAATACAATATACAATAAATACCATAAAATAAATAAAATGCTGTCACTTGTTAAAAAACTACATTGAAATAGAATTAAACAACTTAAAACAAATTTGAATGTCTCAGGTCATTGGTGAAAAGCACTAACAAAAAGCAACTTTAAATATTTCTGGTTTTACTGTTTTCCTGAAAACTGAGGAGGATGGAGCCTGTACACAACAGATATCTGACATATTCCAGAGGGAAGGGACCATGACCCAGAAAACATGGTTCCTGGTGCTAACTCTTTTGGTCTTGTTAGGTGTCACCTTTCTTAATATCATGGACTGCGAGGAATGACTGGGATGAGTAGCTGTTTTGTGCAAGAGATGTACTGACACATATTGAGGCGCTAAACCCTTAAAGGCCTAGAATTGAACACAGAGCTAACAGGGAGCCAGTGAAGGCATGCCAAGACGGAATATGTGTTCATAACTGCTGGTATCTGTGATCAGCTTGGCAGCTGCTTTAGTCCTTGTGTGTGCTTGTCTCTTCAGTAACTATTGTGCCTTGTCCGTGCTGTTGTCACACATAAGCAGGTCCATGCTTATGGAACTTTATTTCTGTAAATAGTCTTCAACCAATATTTCTTGCTGATCTGTCACAGGGAAATATGATAATTCTGTGGATGTATATGCATTTGGCATCTTGTTCTGGTACATCTGTTCAGGACATGTGAAGTTACCAGAGGCATTTGAAAGATGCGCAAGCAAGGACCATCTTTGGAACAATGTCCGAAGAGGTAGGCATGGCCACAGCATAAAAAGGCATAATGTAATTTCATGAAGATCAAAGACTGCATAGAATAATGGCATGTTGAGCTGTGTTCACACGTTTGGACTACAGAGTCTCTTGTAATTACAGTACATTGTGCTCCCCTGACAAACCAGCCTCAAAACTCAGGACAGTTCTAGAAACAGCTGTCAGTGCAGTGCCTGCAGTGCCACTAAGGTAGTGCCTAGTGCCTAGTATGTTTTCTTATATCTTGGCATGTTAAAGTCTTGTAATTGGGTGCTGTTTGAATAAGATCAAAGAGGGAGCAGAGAGTTCTATGGCAGTTGTTTAAAAGAACTGCATATGTGAAGGGCTTTGTACCACATTTTAACATAAAATGACATGTTTGCACAGAAACATAATTAGTTGCTTTTGGAGATTATGTGAATCAGTAAGTAATTTTAATACTACTGCCTGTTTACTCACAGTGGTTTAAAACTATGAAATAAAATGCATTGAAGGAAATGAGGGAAAAGGAGCAGCTCCTCTAGTTTTTTAGTTCTAGTGTACTGTACTGGGGTTTATAGACTGTAAAACTTCAATTTCCATCCTATGCATAATTAACCTGGTAAGCCCTACTGAACACCCCGAGACATAATTGTGAATAAACATGTATAAAATTGCACCGCAATTAATATTTTTGGAAATAAGTTCCTTAGGGCAACCTCTGCTCTGCAATGAAACCTTTTTATGTCATCTGCATAAAAGTGATGGATGTTCTAAATACTACATTGTTATGATATAAAAGCACAATACACATTAAATACATAATTAAAATAGCAACTTTGGATTCCATTTTGAAAGGGTGACTGATTTAACTGCCAGGATTTCAAATCTCTTAAGTTAAAAAAATTCTCATATCAATTAAGTGTTTTTCAAGCTAGGAAAAACACTTTGTTTGTTTTCAAAAACAAACAAAAAACAAAAACAAAACAGTGATCTAACTAAAAAAAAAAAAAAAAAAAAACAGTGATCTACGCCTTTCAAAAACAGGCATGATCAATGCTTACTTGGTTTTTAAAAAAATCTAACATTACGATTAATCACCTTTAAGAGGATAAACTGGTTGTGTTGGGAATCTGAATGGAAAAACTGAAAATGCTTCATTGGGGTGCAACATGCTCAGTATATAATTGGCATTAGTTTACCAGAGTTAATGCAGCCTTCTGCATATTCTTTTTAAACTGTTTGCCTGTTTCAAACTTCCCCAACTGTATCCTCTATTTACTTTAAGGTAAGGATATTCACATTTATTTGGAGGTTGGCAAATGTATTTTCTATGTGGATGCCCTCAGCCATGGAAATTCTTCATAATGCGTAGCATGTAACAGAAAGGCACAATTAACAACAGCATGGACTTCACCCACTTGAAGCTCACCCCTATGCATGTCTGCTGAGTTTAGCAAGACCTGTATTCCACATAGCTATGTTCAGGAATCCAGCCTATGTACTTAAGAAATTATTGTTCCATTATAAATATGAAATGCATGAAGATTGGTTCAATCCTGTTTGAACAGTATAACATTGGAAACCTCAAACTCAGTCACAGCACCAGCTTCCATGAATATGGTTCTATACTTTGCTTGTACACTCTCGTTATGCAAGCTGTTGTTGTATTCTGTGAGTAGCTGTATAAGCCAGTATTCAGACATATTAAGGATTACATATTTGTATAAGCTCAGAGGTTTTGGTACAAGACTTGGTAAGATGAGGTTTCTTTCTAAAATGACTAACTAGAACTGTTTGCATCTCTTCCTATGATAGTAAAGCCTGAAGTAATGAAATCAAAGGATACCTTTCTACTTTTATCAAATAAATATACCATCTGTTCTTTTTCCCTAGGAGTCCGCCCTGAACGTCTTCCCATTTTTGATGAGGAATGTTGGCAGCTAATGGAAGCCTGTTGGGATGGCGACCCTTCTCAGCGACCACTTCTGGGCATAGTTCAGCCCATGTTGCAGGGCATAATGGACAGGCTTTGCAAGTCAAACTCTGAGCAGTTAAACAAAGGATTGGATGATTCTACTTGAAAAAAAACTATGGAGGAAGTGTTCTGTTATGTGAGAGCTCTGGTCCCCGCCTCACCACTGGAAACTCGAGATGTAGCTCTTCAGAAGAGATCATCCAAAAATTGTGCACTCAGGTGAGAGGATATGAAAAGTCCATGTTACAGCAGCAGTCAGGGACAGGAATTCTCAAGCCACACTACTAATGCAAGTTGCCAGTGCTTCCTTCTTTATTGAAAAAAAAAATGAACAAAAAATCAGAGGATTCAGACCTCTTAGTCTACAGGGGAAAGCACTGTATGTTTCAGAAGACTGGCAGCTAGCATATTTACATCTCCAGCTATGGTCTGCTAGTGGTCCATGTATCTCAGCCTCCCTGAATGCCACACATATGAATGTGGATGATTGGAAGAAATCAGTGGTTTCCCTTTTGTAGGAAGGGTGATCCTCCTAACTTTAGCTGCGTGGACAATGAAAGGTATGAGCTAATATTGACTTCCAGTAATGTTTGGTATGTTTACAAGGAGGGATCAAAGCATCCATACTCCTAAGGGGAAGGCCCCACTGCAATGGAATACCCCAAAGGATAAGCTATCTGTTCTTTGTCATGTGATGCAAGCTCTCTTCTGGTGAATGCTTAGTAGCAAGTCTACAGACATCTGACTGAAGATAGGCTTTTTAATATATATACACCAAGATGGGTACTATACCAAAAGAATTTGCACATACAGAAATAGAAACACAGCTTAGCAACTACTGTCTATACCCAATGGACAACTAACAGGTCATGTTTTTAACTACAACTGTTTTCTTTTTTTTGAGTTAAGAGGCAATGACTGTTTTAAACTCTAATATTGACAAGCCATTTTTTTAAAAAAATATTCCAATGTATATTTTAAGTCATTCCCGGAGAGAGAGAGAGAGAGAACATAACAAAAACCTGTCATTATTCCATAGGTGTGCATAGTTGCTGTGCCTGACCATCATTCACTACCTTGAGGGTTATAATTTGGCTGTGTTAATCCAGGAGACCATTACAGGGAACACATGGGGAGGAAGGTCCTGAGAAGTCTGAAATGAAGGGCTCTTTCCCATGTATTCTATACACCTTGGAACAATGATTCCTTTGTTTTGTCTTGTCTTGAAATTTGTTGCTTGGTACAACGGTGAGGATGGCGTAGACAGAAAGAGAGAATGCAACTGGCATAAATAAGAGTAGGGACCAACTGCCAGCATTTCTACGGGTACTTGGAAATCGGGTATGTATCTTCATGCTTCCTCTTTGACTCAATAGGACTTGCACTGGGTCCATCTCCATAGGATAATCTATATACTGTGCAAAGCCAATTAAAGTCTGCACCGTACAGTACTTTGTTTCTGAAGTCGCTCTTGTACAAAGCAGAAATACAGCCTCTTGTCTGTTTTACATAATCCAGTAGAGAAGAAAATAACCCTGCAGTGCTACTTACCAGTTAGATAAACGCATAATTCTGTATGCAGCAAAGTGGAGATGTTTTAAAAATGATTGCATTTATTCAATAGGCATTCATTGTTATGTGGTCATCTAAACTGTATTGGCACTTCTGTCCACAGATTGTAGCATTGGACAAGTTGAACTGAAATGTGCAACAATAGATGCCAAACAGGCTCACAGAAAAGCACATATATTCTTAAATAAAATGTCCTCATAATGTTACATATGTATAACTGGACCACCATACCAGTCACTTGACAGTATTACTCATTACATACCCAATTACTGTGTGCTATGGTGGCTAGTGGCCTTGTTTAGAGTTAGAAGGGTCTAGGTCAGTATTTTTTGGAGTACAGAAACAGTTTGTGTAAAATAAAATAAATAAAACTGTATTTGAAAATGTATTGAATAGCTTTTCCCAAGCAACTACTTCCTTACTCTTTATCCTGTGCCTTTTTTAAAAAAAGCTGAGTCCAAGTATGGTTCAGTTCCACTCGGTCTGTCTTTCCCCATAGACACAAATTGCCTCCATATACCTTGAGCAACCACTGAACAACCATGCACCCACTCCTCTGCTAGACATACTTTTAAATTATTCTTTTGATCAGTCCTGAAGTGGATTTCAGTCTCTGGAACAGATAAACTTTGTTGTCTGAAAGGTGCTACCGTTTAAAATGTATTGGGCTTTGATTTAAACCATAATACTCTTCAATATTTGAAGTGCTCTCCCCATTCTGTTACTATGTTTATGTTCTAAGCATGTAATGTAAACACTAAATAGTTTCACAGCTGTAGCTACAGAGGCAAGCAAAGAGGCCCACCATAGGTATTGCACTGTGACTAATGATGGCCATTGCTGAGCACATCGGAACACAGTGCTCTTGTCTTCCTCCAATGACTTTACAGAATCACAGATTTGTCAAAGGCAAAACACAAGAGGTCTCTGAAAAGTGACTGTTCCACTGAAGTACAACTTGATATATTAAGATACTACCTTCAGCCCCACTCTCATGCCATGCTCTTTTTCTAGGACCAAGCCTTCATCATCCATTTTGTTCTATACCTAAAAGAAAGCTTTGTTTACTGAGCTGTATTATGCAAGGTTTACACGTTGTCAGCCTGATGGTCACCAGCCTGATGGCTAAAGCAGGTGCTCTGAAAGAGAAGTTTCCATAAAACTGGAGACATGATCAATTGAGCTAGTTTACAAAACAAGAATACTTGCAGAAATTGCAAGCTGGAGGAAGTACAGCATCCATACTGGTGCTAGTACCTGATGGTTTCAAGACAGATATTCAGTGTTGATCCGTTGCAGGGTACTTCTTATTTTTCCTTTGGAAACCATGGCCATTTAGCCTCTGCACAAACACTACATAGGAACTGCATGAGCTGACCATTAGCTGCTAAAGCAAGGCTTGAATGCAATGCCGGACTGCCATGATGTGGCACTGGAGTGCTACTCTCAGCTTGCTGCTGCATTGCTGCTACCAATCACATTGTTGTCCAGTCAAGTGGATTGTAGGAGCTGTTATTTGGCAACTGACAATGTTTCTTGTCTCCTCCTTCCCTGTTATTACTCTCTCTTGTCTAGTTAAAAAGCAAGCTATTTCACAGACTCCTTTTAGCACTTCTGTTTGCTAGTCACTCCCTTTCCCATGATGGTGTTTGGAGGGTCAGGAGACACTTGAATGTTGGCTTTTGCAGGGTGGTAGATGTTAATGGAAGGAACTTTAGTGCTGCATCCCTATTGAGTGTAGTTCTGTTTTGAGCTCCTTTCATTTTTAGAGATGTACATAATGCTTTCTCTGTATTTACTGGTTTCCACACTAGATGTCATCCTTATTTTAAAAATTGTAATACAGTACTGCATTTTTTTTTTCTCCAGGGAGAGAATAAGAGCACATGTGCATTTGAAAACTCCCTCAGGGGCTTATATAGCACTGCATTTCTTAAAACTTTTTATTGTTTTTGTTTTGTTATTGATGGTCAACTATTACACTTTCCTGTTGGGGAGGGGAAACATGAAAAGAGCTGTACAGTTCCCATGTAATGCCTATAGATTTTGTACTACTGTTATTTTTCAAACTGATGTATATTAGTCTTAAAGGCAGAAGCAACAAACTTACTGACTGTATAGGAAAAGTGCAATAACATGGAAAATGACATGGTTAAGAACAATTATTTCCCTTGTATTCTGAAATAGTAATCTCTCCACTGCAGCCCCATTCCCCATTATATGTATTTTAAGAGACGTGACTGTGGGTCAAGACTTCATTTAGTGCCATAATGAAGGTCTGTTTTTAATAGACAATAGAATGCACAGAAATGCTGTGTTGTACAATAAAGGTTGCATTAACATCTTATGCTGCTTGTCTGGTGTTTTCTTCTAATAAACATTACAGAAACTTGGCTTAGTTTGTCACGTTAGTACTTGGGGATGTCAGGTTGGACAACACAGATCAATAAACTGCCAGTTACTTAAGCACTTGTGCTACTGTACTGGGTTAACAAAGGGATGCTTCCTCCTTGTATCTGTAATTTAAATTATAAAAGCTAGAGATACCAGTTTTATGTGGGCTGAAATACCCGTAGAAACCTCTATAAATGCCATTGAAAAGCCCACAATCTCTCATTGATCATTCCTACACCTTTTTTCCCCTAGTACACTGCACTATAACTTGATACAGTATCCATTAGTTGGTTATATTAGCAAGTGATAGCATACCAAAGGATGGGCCAAATTCAGTCCTAGGACCACATGTTATGTCCTAGGGCTGCTCCTAAGGCTTCTTGCACCTTTTCTTTTTCTGGCAGAATTCCAGCTCCTGAAAGCATCCAGATAGAGCAGACCTGGTCAAAGTGCGGCCCGCGGGCCACATACAGCCCACGAGCTGCTCCTATCTGGCCTGCCCGTCGCCGCTGAGTGAGCTGGAGCTCTGGCTCCAGTCACCCAGCACGGCAGTAAGCAAAACGTGTGAGCTCCGACGCTGGGATCTCGTGAGTTTTGACTGTTACTCTTGAGCCGCAGGCTGTGGAGCCTGTGGCTCAAGAGGCCAGAAGCGATCCTTGCGCAGTCGACATGATGATGCATCACATTGCCTGCGCAGGATAGAAGACAGTCAGAGAGGAAGGCCGCAGGGGAACGGAGGATAGGTGAGTTAGCTCAGTGTCAAGTTTTTTTTCTCCCCCCCCCCCCCCGTGGTGAACGAATTACAACGCTCACATAGTTAACTCCCTAAAAAGTTTAGGGAGCTAACTATGTCAGCCTTGTAGTTTGTTCACCACATGGCCGCACCCAATGGGGGCCTATTACTACCCACCCCCAAACACAGTTCAGATTTTGTGACCCCCTATAGAAATTAATTGCCCACCCCTGAGATAGAGTGCTCTCTCTTCAAATAGCTAATACATGCAGCATTGCTTAATTTTGAGGGACCACATATTGGCTCACAAACCTAACTTGCCTACTTACGATGTAACCTCTGTTAGAGGAATGCTTGTGTCTCCACATAGGGTTACTAAAAAGACATGCAAGAAATGCCTTTTTTAATATTTGATCCTAAGCACCTTATAGGGTAGCAGAGCAGCCGTATACAGCTGAGTCAAAAACATTTATTCAGCAAGGGTTATTTCTTTTTTACTGCTACAACACTTAATACTTGGCAATAGAAGAGCATAAGGTTTCCAGCCTTTTTAATTATGTTGTTGGCCAAAAATGTTGGTGCCTAAGAGTATGAATCTGAAAAAGGGTTTGTCAAGCTCACATTTCTTCTAAACACATTAAAGACATCTGTTAAACCAAATTTTGCAGGCTCTGTACTGATGGATAAAACCTCCCTTATTTTTCAGCAGAGATCCTGGCAAAAAGTGCCTGTTTTGCAAATTTCATCAGTGTTCTCTTTGTCATAAAGGTGATTATTCTGAAAGTGGATCAGTACAAAAAACAACACACAATTCCCTTAAGTTGCTACAGGTAATGATCCTATTTTTAAATAAATTTATGTTAACAGTTTCTACAAATTTAGCTTGGCAATAGCAGATCAGTTTGGTCTGCTGGCAAATTGGAACATGGGTCAATTGATGAATGTATAAAATGGGGGGCTGGTGGCAACGCACATGCTTTGCATGCAGAAGTTCCTAGATGTATTCCTCACCATCTCCATTTAGGGCTGGAAGAGACCCTTCTCTGATAACCTGGAGAGTCACTGCCATTTAGTCTGTAGTCTGCTGTGGTCCTAGTAGAAGTACCTCCAAGCTAAGCTTTTGCAGTATCTATTCTGATTGTCCACTTCATGTAGTTTTTAAATCTGTTTTTTGCCATGTATCAAGCTTAGGAAGAGTTCCCATAGGAAAAGATTCCATTTGTGTGGGTATCAAGTGGTCCTCGGAAATCCCATTTGCAAAGAATAGAATCCCAGAAAAGACGTAAGAGGGGAATTTCCTCCATCTCTAGGTCCCATGAAAATCTCTCGAGACCTACAGTGCCTCCTTGGGTCTTTTATTTTCCATTCAGAAATTTGGGACCACAAAGCCTGCTTTCAAGCATGTGCATCCTCAAAATTATAGATAAAATGGACTCCTCAGTCACATACCAGAAAGCATCCAAATAGTAGATAAAAGCAGCAGCATGATGAAAGTTGTAGATGAATGAGAGACATTTTTATCACTTGGCTTCTAAACCCTCATGTTGGAGAAAGTAGAAGACTGCAGTAATTCCAGCATTATTTCACCCACCACAAAGAAGATAACTTCATCCTTGGACTATGTATGTGCACCTAGATCTGTAGTGCCCACCCTGATGAGGGGTCTTGCAGGACTTGAAAGCTGAGATAAACATCTCTCTTCCATCATTGTCATATTTTAGTGTGTAATTTAGTGTGTAAATTAAATATTTCAATTTGTCTGATACAGTGCTTATCTCCTTTGTGTGTGTCACCAAGATTGGGAAGGAAAATTCAATATACATAATCTGGGTAGAACTGAAACATCTTTCCTTGAGCAGATTCTACAGAGTTGCAGACACCATTGTTTGAAATATCATGCATATTTGTTTAATATCACAATTTATTTTCAATTTATTTTCTAATACAAAATAATACAAATATAAAATAATAAAAATATAAAAGTAAATATTCAAAGCTTAGGAACCTTGATGACAAAGATACACTAAAGATGTTTTCAAAGACATAGCCAATTTTGTATTTATTTATTTAATTTTCTTTATTTATATGCCATCTTTCTCTTTAAAAGTTTTACATATGCCACAGGTATATTTGTTATCCTGAAAAAAGGCACATCAGTTGATAGAAATGGTCACTTGGACAACTATCTAGAAAAGCTCTCTAGCATTTCAACTGAAAATCAGAACATAACAGTCACTCTTCATATACTATTCTCCATATAGAATTAAGAAGAGAACAATCAAAATAATACACTGCTATGTATTATAAATAATGCTTGTGTGCCATCCTCATCACCACCTCCTTAAGGGTAGATAAAGGTACTTTTCTGATTGCTATACTATATGTTAATTTGTATGGGTGTATGCCTTCATATTTTTTTAGGGACATCAATTCCAAGAATTCCCCAGGCAGAATTCTGGGAGTTTCAGCCCGCAAATGCATCTACAGACACCTGTTTCTGCTCACCTGGAGCAGGGCCTGCTGAATTTGCATGGTTTTCTCCTACCTTTGTTTCCTCTTGTTAATGTAAAATAAATAAATAAATTGGAAGTTGCCACAGTGATTCCTGGAAGTTGTAGTTCTTAGGAAAGCAACCTAAATTGATCCAAATGGGCAGTGTGGCTCCAGGCCCTGCTCGAGTGAGCAAAAGGTAGCTGTATGCAAGCATGCATTGTCTGAAACTCCTAGAATTTGCTTGAGGAATTCTCGGAATTACAGTCAAAAAACTCAAAAATGCACACACCTAATTCATTTGCTCTGTAACAGTGTTGTAGCCGCAGCTTTTAAAGGAAGGAGGCTGGTTTAATAAATATTGAATAAAAATTCTAGCAGATTTCTAGAAGCTTTGCAAGCAGTTGTTTGGTTTATATCTTGCCTTTATCCCAAATAATAGGACTCAGGGTGAGTCATAACAATATGAACTAAAAAGTTACAAAGTCACAGAAACTTAAATTGCTAAAAAAAACCACTATGAAATGTAATACATTAAAACAAATTGAAAGCAATTTCACATCACAGCTGTAGCAAACAGCCCTGCCCTCGCAGAACAGTGAAGAAGGAGCCTATGAGTGGATGGAAGGCAGAGCCAAGGGGGGCGGGCGGAGGGAGCTGGATATAAAGACTGGTGGAGGGAGCCTGAGAGGGAATCTGGGAGAAAGAGACTGTATCTTGAAAGTGACTAGAGAGAGAGTTAGAGATCTGTAAGAGTCTAGATTGAAGTAGAGTGTTAAAAAGAGTTTTGAAGTTGTATCTGATTAGATTCAAATATAAGTGATTGGCAGCCTGTGATTGATCTAATGAATACATATCAGCTAATAACTTCCCTGAAAAAATAAAAGACTTACGTTTTAACAGCACACTTGCCTCCATACGTAATTGATATTAAAGCATTGATATCTGGTGGCAGCGAACAAGAAAGAGCGAGAGCCTCGTGAAGGCCTGGGGGATAGGAGCTTCGGAGGAAATTGCCACAACAGCTATTTAAAAAAGCATAGTACTCAGCCAGTAAAAGTCCATAAAATTACCGATAGAATTTTCCAAGTAACAGCTGTGTTAGTCTGTACGTATCTACCCTAGAACTGGCATTGTCAGGTAAGTTTACAGGCATTCATAACAAAAATGAGAGGTGGAAAGATTGTGACATTTTAAAGACTATTTCAGTGTAAGGTTTTGTGCATTGCAATTCACTTCTTTAGACACATGGAGTAAAATATTGAGGTTACAAGTTTATATAGACAGCATACAGAATTTTAGGTGAGGACCAAGCGGAATGGTACACAGAAGATGAAAAGTGCATTAGTAACACTTGTAAAGAGCTTCCAAAGTGTTGATTGCACAAACATCCTGGCAATAGATACTTAACTAATGCGAAGCAATTGTCAACTGACCCACAATGGTTAGGCTGTAGTCTCTGAATTGATGAAAGAAATAATTCTGAATTTAGAAAAAGTTTGTTGTGTTGAGGTCAGAAATTCCCAAAACCATGCACAAGACAATTGTGTAAACAGAATAAAACATCCAACTTTAAAAAGATATGGTGCATGACACTTTCTGATTTTGGCTGTACTGTATATAAAAAGCCAGCAAAACAACAGCTGATAAATATAGATATAAGAAATACTGTATTGGTATCTGACTTTTAGAAGAACAATAGAATTTATGGATATAGCTGAAATCAACTGTGTTCTTCACAAATATCTTGTTCAAATCTCCCCGTTTTCTTACAATATTTAGATTCAAAGGACATAACTAAAAAAAATAGTCCTATTCATGGGACATTCCAGTGTGCATCTAAAGACTTTAATGGGAGCGGGAGGGGGGCGTCTTAGCAAATTGTGGCTAAAACTGTTGCTTAGCATATTAAACTGCAACTAGGATAGGCCCACTGAATCAACAGAATTTATGGAAGAGTTGGGTAATTACCTACTTCCAGAATATTTCCATTAAAAATATTTTGAAAATGTGGTACCAATTGTAAAGGAATTCTTAGTTTCTGTATCCCAATACAGTTGGTCCCTACTCCCACAAGTATGCATATTATGTATATAAACATGTGGTCTCAATATTATAACCTATATGTCCGAAGAAAGTCATGTACAGTAGTCCAAAAATGCTCACACTGAAATAAATCTACTTGTCTTTACCACAACACAATTTTTGTTTCATGCTGTTGTTATCATATGCCGTCAAGTCATCTCTCACTCATGACAACTGTATGATTTCCAAAATGTCCTGTCATCAGCTGCCCTGCTCCTCTCTTGCAGACTCAAGCCTGTGGCGATGGGAGTCAATCCATGCAATATCTGGTCTTCCTCTTTTCTTGCTGCCTTCCATTTTTTGCAACAACATTGGTTTTTCCAAAGAATCCTGCCTTCTCATGATGTGTCCAAATTAGTAGTTTCAGTTTCATCTTTTCCCCCCTCTAGAGATGGTTCAGGCTTGATTTTTTAAATTACTGCCTTCTCATGATGTGTCCAAATTAGTACAGTTTCAGTTTCATCCTTTTCCCCTCTAGAGACGGTTCAGACTTGATTTTTTTTTTTTTTTAAATTATCAAGGACCCACTTGTCCGTCTTTCTGGCAGTCCAGGGTATCTGCAAAGCTTTCCTCCAGCACATTTCAAACAAATCATTTTTCCCCCGGTCAGCTTTCTTCCCTGTTCAGCTTTCATACCCACATATGGTGATCAGAAATACAAGAACGTAGATGATCTTTGTAGCTTTCCTCCATTTAGTCGTTAAGTCGTGTCCGACTCTTCATGACCCCATGGACCAGAGCACGCCAGACCCTCCTGTCTTCCACTGCCTCCCGGAGTTGGGTCAAATTCATGTTGGTTGCTTCGATGACACTGTCCAACCATCTCGTCCTCTGTCGTCCCCTTCTCCTCTTGCCTTAACACTTTCCCAACATCAAGGTATTTTCCAAGGAGTCCTCTCTTCTCATGAGATGGCCAAAGTATTAGAGCCTCAGCTTCGGCTAAATGCGTTTGTGTACAGGATAATGGCTTCAGACCTCTCATCCTTACAAATGTTTGTACCTGAAATACAAAGCCATTTCAGCGCCTTATATTTTCCACATCTTTTTCCCGAAGGCTCGCACCCATCTTCTTTCCTGAAGCGTCACAAAGCTATAGCCTCCCTTCCCGTTTTCCTTTGCGCCCCCTCCTCCCAAACTGCCATCCCGGAACTTTCCTCACGCACCACCTTGTTTCAGGCCGGCGTTCATTATAGTCAGTACTGCGATTCCGAGTTGTCCTTAGCATTGCCGGCTTGCTCCAAACACCAATTCTTCCCTCTGCAACGTTGTTTGTGCCGTTCTTTAACCGTCGAGAGCGAGTAACAAGGTCCAATGTGGGTATAAAAAGAAAGCGAGACCGATGGGAGGAGTGAGGAGTCATATTTGTCAGGCGGCCCGGGGGCAGCCCCTGCGGAGTGAGGGCCCCTGGGTCCTTGGCTTCGGAGCGGGATCGGACGGAGCGAGAGAGTGGCCAAGATGAACCTGGAGCTGTTGGGTGCGTGAGTTAAAGTTGCTCCTTTGGGCGCTCCTTCCTGCTTGGTGGAGTGGGAGGCGGGCAGGGGGCAGGAGGCGGGGAGGCCGTTGGCAGATGGGGTTGCGGGGCCGATGCGCGAGGGGGGTGCGGGGCCGTGAAGTTCCCAAAGTGCCGGGACATCCGAGGCTGGGTCGGGGAGCGGAGAAATCGCGGGGGCTGCTTGAGGGCAGGAGGCGTCCTTGCTGGAAGGAAGGCTGCCTTGGGCGGGTTCGAGCCGTGCCGACCTGTCCCCTGAGGGAGCGACAGTGAAGCCGGCCACGGCCAGGGCAGGCTGTCCGTGGGTCGCTCGCGGCAACGCTCAGCACAAGTGCAAGAAGACTCCGATACGGAGAAAGAGAGCGAGATAACGGCTTCCTGGAGGTGGCAGGTGTCGACCTCGAGCACCCTGCCCTTCTGGCTAGCCATGGCTATTATCACGGTGACAAAAGTTGGCACGCTCACAAGGCACCGCTTTGCCTCATCCCTGCCTCCCCAGCTGGTCTCTGTGCTGAGCGATCTGACACGCGTGGCTCTGTTGCCATGGCAGCTTCTGGCCATTTCTCTGGCACCCTGGCCGTGGCCGTCGCCTCCCGCAGCTTGCTTTGTGCTGCTGCATTTAGTCAGGTGTGAAGCAGCTCTGTGAAATGGTGTTAGTAAGTGTGGGTTAGTTGTTCAATATGGGTTCAGTTTCCCAGTTGACTCCTTTGGCCAGCCTCTTTCAACATTACCCTGTGGAGCCTACTTCTAGCCATATTCGCATGAAAAGACTCGCTGATCTTAGTGGGTTTCACTTTCTAGTATAAGTAATCTTAGATGGCATGCCTTAATCCTTTTGCCACTTGGACTGTTCTCAGTAGTAAAGGCAAACAAGGTGGTTGTTGTGGGTTTTTCAGGCTCTTTGGCTGTGTTCTGAAGGTTGTTCTTCCTAACGTTTCGCCAGTCTCTGTGGCCAGCATCTTCAGAGGACAGCACTTTGTGCTCTGGTGTAGTTTGCTTGGGAGTGAAGATGCCGGCCACAGAGACTGGCGAAACGTTAGGAAGAACAACCTTCAGAACATGGCCAAAAAGCCCGAAAAACCCACAACCACCATTAGATCCTGGCTGTGAAAGCCTTCGCGAATACAGCAAACAAGGTGCTTGAAGAAATCAAACAGCTACCCAAGGCCACTGCCTATCCCACAGTCATGATAGAACATTGATGTGCAAACTGCTCATGAATGGAATTTTTAAAACTGGACTTCATTGTGGCTTAAGCAGAGCATAGTTTCTCTGTGGAAAGTGCTTGCAGAGTAGTGAGCTCCAAGTAATGTATGCAAATGATCCATGGCACACATGGGACAACAAAGCAAAAGGGAGTTTCTACACAGTACATGGGGTGACAAACCAAAAGAATCTGGTAATAGGAAATGTGTGACCTCAGATTTGCTTGATCTCAAATACCGATCATTCCCTGAATAGGAGCAAAACTCAGGGCCAAACTAGGGTTTACATTAAATTTATGCATTTAAACCATGTATGGACCATTCTCCATCCTAGGTGCAGTGTTTTTAAAAATGCGAAGCACATCAGTTTTAAACAACAGCAGCCATTAAAGGCAAATCTAACCTTTTTCTTCTTTATTGTAGTCTTAAGTTGGGAGGGGAGGAATTCTTCCTTTTATGTTGCACTGGGAGCAAATCTTGCATTGGTGCTTGCTCCTGAGTCTTTCAAAAGTAATGTTAGAGCACAGATTCTTTCTCTCGAATGTATTGACTTTCTTTCATCTTTATCTTATTTTGTTAGCATGCAAAAGACTTGATAAAGTAACAGGAACAATAATGGGTTATACTCCAAAAACAGGCATATCATCTCAGGTTAAAGGATTCTATTAACGTGTCTGAACATTGTTTACTGGACAATTATGTGCTTAAATAAGCCCCACTGGACAGCTAGTTTCAGAGGTCCATCTCAGAAAAAATACTATATTTTCCCTTAGTAGTAGGACTAGGCATAGAGTTCCTTAAATTTAATAGCAGTTTCTCCATCAAAGAGAACATTATATTTTGTTTTGTTTTGCCTAGGGACAATGAGGGAGAAAAGTCCCTTCTGATAATTTTTACCTTAGGCAACTAGAATGCTGCCATTTTGAAGGAAAAGCCTGCTGGTGACCAGACTTTTCAGGGTTGTCTGACAGTATGTTTTGCTGTTTTGTTGCCACACATTTACATTTTGTTCTTCTGGGAAATGTTACACCATGCTAAGCAGTGGTGCTCAAATACCATATTTGTTTCTGTCTTGTCACTTAAGAATACTGTATATTAAACTTACTTTGTCACCAAACATTCTTCAGATTCTGAAGCATGTACCCACACACTGCATACCATTTTTAAAGCATCAGATTTGTTATGTCAGACAAACATTCTTCAGATTCTGAAGCATGTACTCACACACTGCATAGCGTTTTTAAAGCATCAGATTTGTTATATTACAGCTCATTTTCACCTTGAACACTGATGTATTCTATAACATGATGAGTGTGATGTTGCATACTCTTTTCATGGTTTCTGCTTCTGTTTTATTTCAGAATCATTTGGGCAGAACTATCCAGAGGTAAATGCCTTTACTGTTAGATACATGCTGTTCTAATATTATTTGGTTTGATTTGCTGTTTGAAACATACTTACTTTTGCTGAACTGTGGTGTGAGTATTTGATGTCTATTAAACCACATCAAGCAAATGTATCCATTGCAAAAATATCCTTCTTCAACTTTTGGTTACTTTCTGTATATGAATTTTGTGGTAAGTTTTTGAATCATCTCACAAATGGAATTGTCTTTTGTAACGTGGCTGAGCCACTCTGAGGTCACCTCCTACTCAGGCCTCTCAGAATGCCCACCACGCCACTAAACACTCTTGCTGCCACCAACCTTTCCTTTAAATCAAAAGGACAAGGGCTTCTTTCAAAAATAAAACTTGGTTTATTGATTACAAAAATAAAATATGAGAATCACTGAAAGATAATCACTTTGTAAATCACTTTCTTATTTTTAAATCAACCACATAGACATTCCCTCACTGACTCTCAGGCATGCAGGCCTCTTTCTCTCTCACACCAGATCTCTCTAGATCTCACTCTCTCAATCTCTCAATCTCCCCCATACACACCTTCACCCCCCTTTTTATACCAGCTCCTCCGCTTCAGTTCCACCCTCCGTCACACCATTCGC